ACGTACAGATAGCTGTTTATCCTCAGAGTGATAGTCAAGGACTTGACACCTGACAAGTGCTCCAATTACCAGGTAATTCTTTTCAAATACCCCCCTCCCTCCTGAGATGCAATAAACATATCAATCATTAGTCTCATTGCCTTGATAAGTGTGTATTTCAAGCTGTGATTTCAAAGTTTCTGTAATTAGAGTTATAAAGCAATGAATAGCTCAACTGATGCGTATCATCTTCTTTTTGTAAGCTTCAAGTGTGAACAAAAATTCTCATGTACTGCATTAGTTGTAAAATTTGTTAAAGATTCATTTACAAATTTATCATCAAAAACATTGCCTGTCAAGTAACGACAAAGTCAATGAATATCTTGGCTGAACATATATTCTTTTCTTGCAAGATGACATTATAATTTCAATGGGCGGAATGGATCAAAGGCTCTCAGGGATCTATGTAAACGCTGTAAATAACCCTTTTTAGGTATGCTCAGCACACAAAAAAACTTACATGCACATGGCTGCAATGCTCATCATGAATTCATGGTACAGTAGCTTAAATAAGTATTGAAAAATGAATGTCTGCAGAATTTTGCCACAGTCGGATATATGCAAGTATATGTGAGTCACTTGGGGCATGAAGTTCCATTACTATCATTTTTTTTAAAACCTACTTTTTCTGCTTTCTTTTTAGGTAAATACTCCAACTGGTATACCAATTTATCCCAGTATAAGTGCTTCCACAGTTTGGGGGGGGGGGGGGGGCTTCTGAAGTACCATACTTTAAAGTTTCAATTGAACTACTTCTGAAGTGCCCTGATTTAGACTACAGTCAATTTATACTGCTATAAGTACCGGTCTAAGAGGTATTACTCCATAAATGGATTAGAATGAGTGAGTGACACTGTGTGATTAGCCAAGTTCATGGCCCTGAATTACATCGTAGGCATCCACCCTCTCACTTTCTCTATCACTCCCTCTCTCTCTCTCTCTCTCTCTCCCTCCCTCCCTCCCTCCCTCCCTCTCTCTCTCTCTCCATGTCATTACACTAAGCCATTTCACTGTACTGAGGCTATTTCTAGCTAAACGCAAGGACTCGAAGGCTGATGATAATATTAGATTTGATTCCATTTACCTCTTTGGTAATCCTATTTGAGTTGTACATGTAGGAAAGTGAGGTTCAGGATGAGTTCAGATAAAACAGCTGACTGTGAAGTGATTGATGTAAACAAGGCTGTGTCATCTCAGGCTCACAGCTTTGCACTTTTAACCATTAGACCACCGAATTCTCATATTCCCCATAGGTTTAATACAGGGACCACACAGTTCTAGTAGATAATGGGTTAATGTACATTGTAGCACATTGCACAGCAGTAGTCACAACAAAGTCATTGTATATAGCCCAATAATCAAACGATAATATGTGTTTGTTGTATTGTTTTTTTCTTTTTTTGTTGTTCATGAATATCATGAATATCAGGAATACATTATTGAAAATATCCGTCTTCTGTTAACTCGACAGTTCAACAAATATTTGTATCTTGAGTAGCCAATTTCATTCATATGTTATAAATATAAATTACCTTCAATATATGTTTGTTAATTTATTGCAAATGAAAATCAATAAAATCCATGTGGAGGGAAAAAGTATGAAAAAAAAAATGTACGGCAGCATCTTTGTGATGTTATTCATCGTAAACACTGCCCTGAATAGAGGAAATGAATAGACTACCGTAGTAGAGTATGATTTATTGGAATTTTGGAAATACCAGCATATATTTGGTTACCAACCTAGCTAACTGTATTTGACATGAAGTGCCACATACTGTACATGTACAGTACGTGGACTTTGGCAAGTGATGTTTATGTTTTGAAAAAGAGTGGGGGAAAAAATAATACAAAACATGCACGGTTGAAGAAACTGAGCCCGATCACTCATCACAAAAAAATGTGACCGTTAGTTTTCCTTTCAAAGAGACCTTAAATGGCCCATTTGCTAATGGAATTGAATAAATAGAGACAAATTCAACAAACAAAGCAGTGAAAAAAGGGTAATAAAAATTGGATGAAAAATAAGAAATTTAAGGAATTTTAAAGTTCAGCATAATTTCATGAAACAGTGTTAAGTATCACATACATGTAGGCTGTATACAAATTAGTGAGTTGATGATGTCATCCCCTCACTTTTTCTATCTGTTTGTTCATGAATTTAACAAAAATATCCCTTTTCTGCTCTGGGAATGTAAAACATGGCTTGAATCCTCATGGAAAATATGTGCAAAATCACCATTACTGTACCCTATTGTCATTGTAAAGGGGAAAAATTATACAGGTGTGTCCAAAAAATAAGCAAAACTTGAAAATTCATGAACAAAAATTATTCATTCCATTCTACCGATTTTATTTGTCAAATTTTTCATTATTTATTCTATTCAACTTGAAAATGGGTCGGACTTGCCCTCTAATTCCTTTAAATAACAAAAGATTTGAATAGTAACAATACAAAACTTTCATTAGTATATCCAAATTGACACCATGAGATGAACGCATCTTAAAAGTCCCTTTGAAGGGGCAATTCTATTTGATGCAATGTGACATTTTAGGATTTTAGATTTTGAAAGGAAAAGGTTTTTTGAAATCGTTGCTCTTGATGAATTCATACTCATCGAACCCAACTTTTCTTTGTTTTACCTCAGAATACAAAATGGAATTCAAGGGTGTATACATACAGTGCTAAATGTAGTAGGAGTAGCTGTGAATGTGTTGACATTTAATCAAGGGGAATATCATTCTCTGCATGCCCTGCACACAAGACCATGAAGGACAATATTTTCATATCACTTTAAAGGTGTTTGATTGAGGAGTTCAATCATTTGGAATCTCTCTAAAATACCAAGTGAGTGCCAATTAGGAGAAGGAGGATTGTCCCAGACGGTGATTGCCATGTGAGAGTTGTGACTTTATACATTGATTAATTGCATAAGCTTGATTGAGACAGTGGGTGAAGTCTTCTAAGGGCTACATACAGTACATGGGTAAATATGGAAGAGCTTCTGATGATAGCAAAGTGTGGGTTGCATGGCCCTCCCCATTTTCAATATTTTTTATAAATGACGTATCGGTAGTCTACTGCTCAGACCCTGCACCGGATTTCTGAAACAGCTTTGTACACAGGCAGAGGGCCAATGTACACTGTATGTCGTTCATAAACCCTATTGGATTTGTGAAGAGCTAAAAGTACACGTATATAAGTATAGAGTTCAGAAAGGGCATAAGTTTTAACCACCAAGGGTCTCTGCTCGTAGACTAGATTAGACTGGCGAAGGGATATGTCTCTTCCGATTCCTCATCACCAAGGGTTTTGCATGCTCGATATGACAATGATACCCAGACCACAAGACTCAAGAGAGGTGGAGTCCTTGAGATGAAACATGAGATGGTGAGATGGAGATGAATGGTCTCATCAATCATGTCAAGTACTAGCTAGTCAATCCGAGCAGGAACACTGATAAAATTAAGGCTTCAGAGTATCTCATAGAGCCAGCATATCATGTATGGTCTTTTCAAATAATAATGTACAACAGTGATATACAAGTATACATGAAACATCAGAGAGGGCCATAGGGGCACATACCCCCTGGCAATGAATGATGAAACATAGGAGGGGGAAGAAACGATGGAAAGGGAAATAAAACATGCAAAGAAGATAAAAGGCCCCCTTCCACACCCTCGCATAATTGATGGCCTAGTTCATTTACATATGTAGCAAGACCAGTGATCCCCCATCACTGCTACCCACCCCTGATGATACAAGTGCCTGCTACAGTGCTAGTATAGCTACAGTATTTTATAGTAAAGTGAAACGCATGTTAGGGCAAGTGTTCTGAAGACCAACATGCCTCTGCCCCAGAGGACAAATAAGAAGATACTGTACTGTACAAGTAAATGAAATCCATATACTTGATAAAACAAAGATAAAAAACTGAAAAGAGAAACTGAGAGTGACCTTTTTAGTGTGAAAAATCTCAATAAATTGGCCCAAATTCACAAAGGAGGTTTGTTGACAAACTTAGGTTTATGTGCGTCATTTGATGTTTTGATGCGTTTCAGACCAAGGTTCAGACAAAACTTGGTCTGAAATGTGTCAAATTTTGTTATATGAGGCATATAAACCTAGGTTTGTCTACCGGTACAACTACAAACCTCCTTTGTGAATTCGGACCATTGTGTCGGACCAATGTAAATAGAGGCAGTATACCCTGTACATGTACATGTATATTGCCTAAATTATTAAGTCCCAGGTCTTTTTTCGATGTGCTTCAGGAAATATTTGAAGTTGGGCTCTTGAGCAGTTACAATGTACTTCTCCACTCTATGCTGACATTCACTATGTGTTTCCAATTTGGCTCCGAGCTGGACAGATACTGTTCACAAAGCTCGTCTAATGGAAGCAATTTGCCACAGTTTTTTTGCCGTGACATTTACCAAAGAGCAATTTTGGTTAGAAAGTCTTTTATCGTAAATTGGATGATTAAACGCTTTTGGAGAATCTAGATTCGAGGCAGAACCTAGGGTGGCTGGTCATACAGATAGGTAGGAATATGCTAAAAGGTTTAGAGGGTAGAATCTATTTTATGTTCTCTCAAACATGTGCATGGACATTTTTTCCACTCCAAGCTTTCATGACACTTGCATTTAACCACTGCAGCGATACATGTGCTTTCACTTTTACAAGTAAGAAAGGATGTTATCCTCTACCAATTTACTGAATGATAGTTCTGTTTTGCTGGATACTTTCCTATATGTTCTTCCCATATTTTATAGAAGGTACAGGCCGAAAATGCAAGTAATGCAGTAAACATTGCGCATATGTAATATTTGTTTTCATCAGAGTTTTAAAAAAAGGAATTATAGCAAAAAGCCAACACAAAAAGAATTGATAAAAACAGTAGAGTGCCAAATAGCATTCAATTTCAGGAGCTGCATAATAGTTATCAATGCATGTATCATACCTCAATTTCGATATCTGGATGTCCATTTTGTGAGAGTGGTAAAACGGCAATGCGAGTGATGCAGTAGACGTCATGTCCCTTGGGCAGCTGACCCACCAGACGATGGCTCCGGATGAGAAGCAGTCTCCATTCCGACTCTGAAACAAAATCATGACAAAACATCAGAATGATTAGGTCTGCTTTCTCAAAAGGCCCGTCTTCACTATCTCGAGATTGCCAAATATCCAGCTATTTGAACTATCCCGATCGCAAACTATCCAGCTAATTTGTGTCTTCATCAGCCCAAAGTTGCAATTAGCGGGATATTTGGTCGGGATTGTCATCCTAAGATATCTAGTTTGCAAAATATCCCACTATTTCCCACCGAAGACTCGCACTATGCGCGAACGCTGAGCAAATATCTCGAGCTAATTTCTCAAGGTCGAGTTTCAAGTTTCGAGGTCGAATCTCGAGCTGATGAAAACACGATTTGTAACTTCGGGATTATTTCCCAAATCAGAAATAGCGGACTATTTGGCAATCTCGAGATGATGAAGACGCACCTAAAGTACTAGCATTCGTTTCCCTTCTCAGATATCATTATGGGGTTGCAAAACAAACAAAAAACAGAGTGATTTCTTTTGCACGCTACATGCATTACCTTTCTGTACTAGGGCAGAAAGGCTCAACACCGAATTGTTTGTTCAGTCTCCATTTCGACTCTGCAATATAAGATCATAATAACAAGAGAACACTTGGAATGCTTCTCTTTGCACCAGCATGAATTTCTATTCTCCATCTTACATACATGTACAGTGCATATGTCTAGTATTGTCTACATATACATGTAAACATTTCGAACACTTGATAGTGTCGAGCCATGCAAAAAAAGAATATAAAGTTACTCTTTTTTGTTGCTGCAGTGTTGTATTTTACTTCTTTAATTGAGGCACATTTTCATTTCATCACTTCATAAGCACTTTCTTCCTCTAATCCTTCTCAACCTGGAACAGGGCCAAGTTACATAAAGCTTTAATATAAAAAACAAGTTGCAATAACTGTTACATTTGAGTGGCTGAGAGCGAATCTGTTACAGGAATGTGATACCTTTGATTGATAACATGTTTTGTGAAACAGGGCCTAGCCCTAGATACATGTAGGATACATTCTTCATCCCTTCCTCCATCTCACATGCTTGGACTCATTTTCATCACAGAATTGTAACACAGTTTTGATCCTACAAACATGGTGCCTACAGGATTTTTTGTATTTATTCATTCCATCACTGCACAGCTATCGGATGTTCCATCAGGATGACTGCTTCATATTTCAATTTATTTTTTGTCTTCTAAAGCCCTACACATACATGTACATATATATTGTATATTGCTGAGCCACAAATAATTGCATTTACATTGTACACTGGTGGCCATAAAGTTGGAATAAATTTATGATGTACCTGGATCTCTTCTTGAAGTGATTGTAAGAATATGATTTATTCTAATCTAGATAGATAAAGTTTTACATCTTTTCAGAACTTTATTTAGCAATCACTGTCACTCTTTATAATTAGATTGATCAATAAAATTTTGGGAAGATAATCTCACTATCACTTCATAAAAAAGGTAACAAAAAACGATTCCGTGTATTTCAATTAAGATATTTGTTTGCTGATCTACATGCAGACCACTTCAAAATAAACTGGATGATAAGTGATGTCATGTACATGTACATGTAAGTTTCTTTTAACAAATTAAGTCCATGGGCGGTGTCATATAGAAAAATCCCTTGAAAGGGGGAATTTTCTTGCTTCGTTAGACGATTTTTAATGGGATAATTGGGGACAGACAGCAATTAAGAGGATAACTAAAATCCAGACTTTTGGTCTCTGTGTAACACCGCCTCATGAGCACTTAATATAAGCTTTAATAAAATAATGGTACAACAAAGTGGAAATACAAATGAATTACATCAAAATATTGTTATCTCATGCAGATATGAAAGTACTGGTTGAAAATGCAGTTTGAAATTCTTCTTGAATACATGTTATATTTCTATTTTGGTAATTAAAACTTCTTATACAAATACATACATGTACTGTTTTCTTACTTTTTGAATAGCATTTGCACTGGGGGAACGTACAATGTACAGTGAATGTACAGGTATATTCAAAACAATTTGTATTTACATTGACTCAAAATCCCATTGAACGAGTTGATGGTATGACATTTCTTGGTGTTTATATTTATAAGAACCTGCATTGGAAAAGTCAAAAAGACAGTCTCAATCAAGTGTTGTTTAAAAATTGTGGTATAAAAATGCAAGTCATCTCATGTATGACCTCTCAAACACTCCATATTCTGTAAAATACATTACTTTTGCCATACTTAAAATTATGGAAATATTTCATGGGGTAGGGCCTCTTCCACAACTTTGAACTGTACATTCATTCTGCAGAAGAAGGTAATGCGATTTCTCACACAACTTGATTTCTGTGCACCCCTTCTTTTTAAATGTTTAAATCTTGTATGAATCCCTGACATTGTTAAATACCAAACAGCTACATGTACCATGTATATTCATGTTCAATTGCCACAAGACTGTTCTTTGAACAATTTTACACATCTGAGCAAAATAGCAGATAACATATATTATATACCTCACTTAAGTAATCCAGCCATCTGATTGGTCGAAATTGCATTCATAAACTTCAACTGTTCCTGTAAAATTCCCGGTAACCATGCATAAAACATTTAATATTTTTAATAACCATGGTTATTAAAAAAATAGGTCAGCCTCCATGGTTACCCCATAGGTTTACATGTTAAAAAATGGTTTGAGCGATCGAGGATACCGTATGTGTGCGAAGGATTGGTCGGTAATTTCAATACAATTGAATCTCGATCGATCTTACCGACAATTTTATCTCGCATTGTTGACATGAAGACGAAAATAAACTTCCAAAAACAAAAAAACAACATCTGCCGATAGATCTTGATCTAAGTTCGTGCCAATATGCATTGCAAAAGTAAAAGAAGGGTGCTTTTGCGAAGCATTCATCACGCCGAAGCCGGTTTCAATCCATTTTAATGTATATATTGTACAAAACTGCCAAGCATGTGAACAGCGCGCGATGGCCGAGTGGTGTAAGGCGTTGGTGTAAGATTCATCACTCATTGTACGCAAGAGTTCGACTCTCACCTTCGACAAAAAAAAAAAGTATTTTTTATTTTTTATTTTTTAGTCTATTTTTTTTCGGCATATAAAAGTATTAATGACTGCTTTAATATTCGAGAAATAGTTGTTTTTATACGCTCTCGGGAAGGTTACAATTGGGCTATTCCCCTCGGCACGCCTCGGGTAATAGCACAATTCTAACCTTCCCTTGAGCGTATAAAAACAACTATTTCTCTCAAAGCAGTCATTAATACTATACTATTTCTATTTTGGTAATTAAAACTTCCTACACATATAGTACAAACACTGTACATGTACTTGTACTGTACATACAATGTATTTCTCTTACCTATTTGAAGCATTTCCACTGCGCCAGGAGTGTCATTTTTGGCAGACATATTGGCGCATTATAAATGTTCACTATCATTATAACAAGGTAAATTTAAATAATGTTTCCTTGCAGTGGAAAGGCAAAATTATTGGGAATTTAGCTGACCAATGAATAGTTAAATCCCCTCCATTTAGTGATACAGTCAAACTTGCTTTAGTGACCACCTGTCTAAAAAGACCACATTTGTTGTTTCCCTTGAAAGGAACCTGTACATAAAGACCACCTGCCTATAAAGACCCCTTTTCTTGTCTCCCTTGGGTGGTGGTCTGTATAGACAGGTTTCACTGTACTGTAGAAGAACAAAATCTTCTGCAATCAGCCAAAGATATGAACATACCACTGGTCTCTCTCTCTCACTTGTAGCTCTTCAAATAATGCACTCCAGACTGATCTTCCCATGCAGACGTCACATAAAAGGGCATGTTTCCATGACAACAGACATGAGGTTTCAAAAATTACTTTCTCTTTAGTTGTACTATTGCCTCAGGGCAGATAAGAAATTGAATGTGAATATGTACAGCTGCACAGCCTGCACTGTATTACCACTGTATATACATGTATGTTCATGTATGTTCATGTATCATGTATCATGTGAAAATCAAATTTCCCCCATTTTCCCCCTTATTAAGTATGCAAGTTTGGTTTCTCGCATTATGGAATTCTGCTGTGTTTATTTTTACAATAATCCAAACATGTAACATGTGCTTTTGTTCTTTTGTGCTGTCTACCGGTACTACAAAGTCTACATTGTATGTACATGTATCTTCCTTAGTCTAAAAAACAGCTACTGTACACATAAATGTACTACATGTGCAACCTACATGTACCACACAAAAAGGCAGGTTCAATCATTCTATAAGGTGGTAAAATCTCAACAAAAAACAAAGTAGAAATTACTTGAATTATTGTTCAATAATGACACAAAATGGATAGGCTGATTGAAACTTGAAAAATCATTACTTTCTGTTTTATTTCTTGCATTTTCATGTTTTACTTACCCCTGAATATTGGGCAAGAGAACACAGTGTACATGTACATGTACAGTACATTGAGTGATTTCAAGTTGGGTGTTTAAGGCTAGTGTTAGTGTTTAATAAACACTAACACCAGCCTAAACACCGAAATGGAAATCAGCTGGTGTTAAGGCTTTGACCTCTGAATATCGTCAACTTCCGGTAGCTAGTGTTATCGCTTTTGCAAAATTGTCGTCTGCTGAACCGACCTTTGTGGCTGGTGTTAATATTTTACGTACAAATATCCTATTCACTAACACTAGCCCCTAGGGATTAAGCAAATTATGTTGATTTCCAGTTCGGTGTTAGTGTTGTATTCGCACACAGTCAACGCACGAACGACGCCAATTTATTGTCTGACGATCAAATAAGAATATGTGAAACAGGTAATTCATATATTCTTATGTGTAAAATGAGTTATTTTATAAGACCAGAGAAATAGGTGTAAATTTATTCTGTACTTTTCATGATATCTTTAGTTTTGATGTACTATTTTTAAATCATCGTCGTGAAATCAAGTATGTGGTGACGTCACAGCTGGTCATGTTAAGCTATCGATTTTGATATCGGTATCGGGCTCTTAATTTCATCAGTAAATTTTCTGCTCGATTTAAGAGCTCTTGACTGCTCTAAACACTAACACTGACACTAACACCCAACTTGAAATCACTCATTGTAATTAAAACAAATTATGAAAAAAAAAAATACCGGTAATCATAACAATATCACTTACTTTTAAACTACACTGTATTGTATGGATAAAGTAGAGAGGGTTGCATAATCTTAAAATGTTTCATAACATATTAAACAGTAGGCCCTATGGTGTTGAGCAGTGTATGTATTGTGGTGTGTACCGGTATTCAGGCGTCCAAACGTGTGATGAAATTCATTAAAACACATAATGTACATGTAATAAACATGCGGTGTAAATGTCTGGTTGACAAAAGAAGAATAGAATACTAAATGTATTTATTAACATAAATATTGAGCTCTTCCTGTCAATAAATATGTTCATCTCATACAATGTCACAAGAGCAATGGTTCTCATGATCGCAAATTTACACTCGCTCATTCCAGGCTGTAAAATCAATTAACTCTCATCAGTGACGTACAATATTCATGCCAGGCAAGAGTGCAGTTAAGCTACTAAAATAGGGATGATTCTAAATCAATAGATTTATCACTGACAGTTCTAATGGATAATGCATGCTACAGCTCTTTGTGCCTGCTTCCATATTAAAGGTGCCATTCAGCATTTTTTACAATAGTTTAAGTGTATCAATCTATCATATCAAATGTATTTGAAAACATTTTGTGGTATGGAAATTTAATTGAAAAAATGATGAGCATACAAATGTACATGTACAGCTACATGTATGTAGTAGATAAAAGTTGTTTTTTCTTTCTAGAGGTGTCATGGTCGAGTGGATATGTCAAAGGACTGTGGATCACAAGGGCCGCAGCACTTGTCTTTTGGCAAGACATTAATCTATATCTGCCACACTTGACCCAGGTGAGGTACATGGGTACCTGGCAGGAGTTAATTCCTTGAAATGCTAGAGCGCCGTAATGGCAGCCATGCTAAAGCCAAGGTAATAATTTCCAAATTTGGAAGCGCATAGATTAGAGAGGTTTGAATGTGATACAAGAGCCAAATATTATTATCATTATTACAATCTCTATTGAACTTCTGTTCTGCAAACACTCTTCTTACACAGCCTGGAAAGTCATTTTTAAAATATAATGATCAGGGTAAACCATAACAACCTTTCAGTTGAAAATGTACTGGGTACATGTACACTTATAATCCTATTCATTGTTTTTACCATGATCAAGGAATGAAGGAAAGGGAATATAAACAAAGATGTTGTACATCAGAATATTAAGCTATAAATGTGACATTGCACCAGGGTTTTGAGAGCAGTACTCTCCTTTCATTTATTAGCAGTTGGCTGTTCACCCTGGCTAATCTTACCCAGTCTCTCACTTACTCAGGATCCCGCTGTGCACTAATTGATGACAGCTAGTGCCTGCAGACAGCATGCCGAAAGCTGGACATGTAGGTAATAATGCCGGGCGCTCCTGATTTATCATTTAAATAAAGTGAGGAAGCCGCTTGCTTCCACTGTGGGTTAGGCAGCAGAAAGCTTTTCATTTTGCATGTACACTGTACATGTAGCTCGGGCTTTAATATCAAGGGCCTGGAGGGTTGCTCCAATATTAAGTGCACAGTGCCCAAGAGAGGCTATTCGATAGCCACAAGCATTTCCAAGAAAATGCCCATGAGATACATACAGGTGTTCATGAATACAGTATGCAAGTGCATTGCTAACTCAAATGTGCAAGTATTCTATCTACAGCCATTTTACTTGCAAAGAGAGGTTTGGTGATCACTCTGCAATGATAGCAGTGCTTTTTATATGGTGCAAAGATTTGTGCACATAAACACTGGGTATGCAACTACATGTAGGTGTTGAGAGATTATTCAATGACCCTAGGTTTAGAATTAGAAGTTTATTTCATTTTATCATTTGATTCATAATGTAAATTCATAAGCGCAGAAACTTGTATAGATACAAATATACACTGTACATACATGTATATATGCTGCCCCATAAGCTCCTGAGGTAGTATCCTTGAAAGTACTACCATTATTTTATGCATATAAAGATGTGGGGTTTTTTACAGTGGAGTTTGATTTAAAAGTTATTTTGGTGAATTCCTAGTCTTTACATTTCATTTCTATTGGTAAATTATCAAAGCTTTTCGGCCACTAAATCCATTGATCACTCTTAAAATCCCAATTGATCATTGTATTCTTAAGAACCCTGAGAATCTGAGGCCCAGACTTTATTTCACACTCTATTAATCTCATAGTGAGTTGATGAGCATAGGCTTGAATGATCAGCTTTATCAAAGTGGTGTTGGCTCAGACATGGGCAGATCCAGGGTTTTGTAAGAAAGAGGGGTCACAACTCTCAAGTAAACTCAGAATAAAGCCATTTCGTAATGGAACCAAATGTAATGCATGCCTTTGTGAAGTGCCTCGATACAAATTATTGCATTCATCTGTTATAATTGTACATCAATAGTCAGAATGCAAACTGCAAAAAATTAGTGGTTGTCAGGTAGAACAAACATTATAGCTTGCTTGCCTTAAATTGTACCTAACAATACACACATGTACTGTAAATGCATTAAATATGCATTCTGACAATTGAAATTTATTTATTACTTCTATCAATCAGAGAAAACAAGAGCAAGTGTTTGGCTGACATGTCAACAATAACATGTACCTGTACATGTATGTGTACAAACATATTGTATACAGTGTACAGATATCACATGATAGGTTTGGACCAAAATTGCTCAGTGACTTGAAGTAAAGCCATTGAAAAAGAAAAGCAGGTAAATAAATGAATGCCCTCGTATATATGTTTTCAGTATTTTCATTCTCCTGTTATGCGTTGCCTCTGAATACAGCTGTCCAAAATATCCTCATTATATTAATTTTCCTTTCTTCTTTTTTTTTCTCTCCTGATTCTTGTATTAAATAGGACTAAAAGCATATGCGTTGTACGGATCTACATGTACATTGTAGTAATAAATGCCAACAATATGTTACACATTTTTCTATCAAACTGAAGTCATTGACATATTAATTTTTTCATTAAATTAAAATTTTTGCAATGTAATATGTACGTGACTAAATCCATATTGTTTCAATATCCATAGCTCAATCATTCACGGCCGGGGCATCGACTCACCACTTGGAAACTAGAACCAAACTAGCGGCTTTGGACTCGGAGGAAAACTTGTCTGTCATTTTAAAAACGACATTGCTACTATTATTTGTGACAAGTTCACAAGCACAAATCGGCAACTTCAGGAAAATAAATAACATGGCGGCCATGTACACATGTACATGTGTATCTGACTGTATGCCTGGACGTGTACACAACTACCTACATGTAATTACACGCTTATGCACAGCCGTCATATATCTGATTATAAAAAATAGGAAATTTATGATTTTTTTTTTTACATATATTGGCAACACTGTGACATATCTTGCAAGCTCCTCTTCAATTTGCTATGCATACATGTAGACCATTACAATGTATACGCTTCTGCCATGAAGGTTTCTGCCATGGGTCTGTTATGCACTATTGGAGACCATTTGGATAGCCTATACGCAAATGTGATCTTTTGATGGGCTGATTAGATTTTTGTTTCATGATTTCTATTGGATGAGACGAATGACATTGTTATCTTTCCTTTCATACTAAACTTTCTATGATTTACGTTTTCGGCAGTTTGTTTTGCTGCACTGTTTCACAAGAGCCGTGTTTAGTGCCATTCTGTAACCTGATCCCGCATTCAGGATGAGAAAAAAGGTACATGTAGGATGATTGGTTAACATGTGAATTTGGTTTTGGTGAAATTTCATCAAAATCTATGGATGAGAAATATGTATTTTTTTATGAGGAATGTTAAATTTCATTGCAAAAATGACGGCCCGGTCACAACTTTTGTTTTAAAATGAGATCACAACTTTTGTTTTAAAAAAAAGGAAAGCAAAGCAATTAAATACATGATTTCGAGGCGTTTAAAACTGGCATAACTTTCTTATTACTGGGGCTATTAGGATGAATGAGGCATCAAATAAAAGGTCTTATCAAGCTCTGTTTGATGGCATAAATCAAGAGCTTGAATTCTGAGATTTAATTTTTTTTGTAACATACATGTACATGTAGTGCGTCCCAGAAACCGAGAATTATCAATGTTTTATCATAGCTTTATCATAGCTTAATCACAATTGTAATTAATAACTGACAAATTTGTAAAGCTTAGATCCTCCTCTTTCATTTGATGCAACTCATATGATGCAAATTTTAGGCATGAGTGATTAAAATCAATTTAAGAGAGGGAACCAAAAAGTCATTTGGCGGACAGTATCTGAATTTCAAAGAGAAAATCACATTTCTAGAAAGTTCAGTTTCTGCCCTTTCATATGACACCTCAATCAGGAAAAATTAGCAAGGAATAACTAAGTTCTGTTTGTATGCTTGCATTTCCATAATTTGATTAAACGAATTGGTTTTCACTGGCTGCCTGACGTAGCAACAAATGGAAGTGACTAAAGACTTAACTCTGTTTCGTTGACGATCAGCCATAGACGAAAGACTTCATGCATGCTTCTATTAAAATCAAATTCATATCAGAGTGGATTTGCCCTTTAAGGGACATGGGTAATGTTGACTCTACATACCTGGATGAATGCGTAGTTTGCCGATCACTCCAAACACTTTACCCAGACAGACAGGATTCCAAGCATTACCAAGGGCTGACCCTGTCAAAATAATGGTGAGAAAAGAGATCTTATGAGACATTAAAAGTAGACAGAAGCAAGCTGACTTTGTACTGTAACTGCATAGGAACTTAAAATACTGTCTTTATTATGACATTTCTGACTTTCCAATCAAAATTAAATGTATACATAAATTGACTTGAATTAAGAAAATGTTCATGTATGAGACTAATTTGATAAATTTTAAAAAATCTGATAAATAGTAAAATAATTAATTTGTATCTTGTTTCGAACAGAATAATTTCCTCTTCATCACATTTCAATTAGAAATGGATTGCCATTGGATCTACATACAATGTATGTACACAGAAATAACTGTCTCTTATGGGAAATTGTTTAATGAAACTGACATCTACAATGTAGGTGGACAGGTAGTTTACTACAAGTAGAGTACCAATGTCATTTACTCCAGGGAGCTGCGCCGCGAGTTACAGTGTCATGAGAAACAAATAAGGGAGATCTATGTGAGTTGGTCTAGGCTAGGCTAGCTGTTCGTTCATTTAGGTCATGTTTTTGGATGGTGACGTTAAAGGTCTGTCATCAGACATCATTAATAATTGATACACATCTGTAAAAGACAATTACCATACATTGTGAGGTGGTGCTTTAATATATCAATTTACATGTACAGTACATGTACCGTATGTCTTATGAACAGGCAAATGGCAGGCCAGGTGGTCTTTCAGGAGACAAAAACTGGTCATTGGCTTGTAAAGTTAAGTCTTCTTGGCGCTTGTTCAGAAGTCTATCCAGACTTTGACCAGAACTCTGGCGTGAAGATAATGTACCCTACTAATCGTTCAAATAATGGTCATGATTTAAAAGTCGTGTTTCGTGTCAATTTTCTTTTCTTTTTTTTTTCTTTCTAAAAAAGAAGACTTATCATATACACTTTGTCTTTCTCAAGACTAGATATAAGAAAATACTTTTTTAGCAATAGTGTCGTGGAGCTATGGAACGGTCTCCCAGAAAACGTTGTGGCAGCTGGGTCGGTCAACTCATTTAAGAATAGACTTGATAGTCACTGGTCAAAGAATGCAAGCCTTCTGTATGAGCTGGTCTAGGTGTTGTCTGTTGTCTCATGTTATAACACAATCTCCTCCCTCTACACATACATGTAGCAGTAACCATGGAAGAATCCTGGACCAATGAACAGGCTTAGACCTATCGTCTTTTAAAGTAAGTAAGTAGATCTAAGTAAAAATGGTGAAAAACGATCCCAAATTGAAAATTGAAAAATCATTCAGACACCCTACTATTACATATTAGTAGAGTAAAGGAGGGGGTTTTCGGCCACTTAAGACAAAATCCTATTTTTTGGACTCTCTTTACTTCCTATTTATTATCATTTCTTGTTCAAATAATGAAGCAAATATTATTATTATTTAAACAAAAAAGAATCCTAGAAAAAAAATTATGAAATGCCATGACAATATTCATTTCAATTTTCACTGTTTCGCAAACAGTCATCGACCTAGTGAGACAGTTTACGGTCGCATGCACATAGTCAATAGTAAGCTCGCACGCGCACTGTGCGTTTCCCCGCTGATCTATAGCTATAGCACTAGCGGGCAAAGCAGGTATCCCACGCCGGACTTGGAGCTCGCCATGCCGAAAACTACCTCTGCGGTGATCGGAAATTGGAATCTGAATTAGACAGAGATATCGTGTGTGCGCTGCAGTGTCCAGCTGCATTAATTTAATACATGCGATGAGATACTTTTGAGCATGTGACTCACACAAAATCGGGCTCTAAATCAGAAAAATACTTGAAATAAAGCTCATTTTATGGTACCCATATTCTTTAAAGATACTTGATTTTTCAGATTCAGGTAGCGGGACCGTCGATTACATCGCTAAAATGTGATATTTAAGGATATATTTTCCATTGCAAATGTGGTTCTTCAGTGACTCTGGCATGCTATTATGCGATGTATTTTTAAAGGGATTTTACCATGCATCCAACGGACCAGCCGAAAACTGTTGACGGTCGATTAACCCCCTCCTTCACTCACTCCAGCAAAGCATAGAGAGTCAATGCTAATGCGTATTGACCTCTAGCACTGCATACATGCTGTGAGGCAGGGACCTAGAAGTCTATACACAAATATACACACTACACAATATCGCATAGACTCTACACAATCATGTCGATGCAGCTGTAAGCAAAGTTTGACACTAGACTTACAATTTTAATTTTTAAATTATTCTTTTTAATATCAGTAAGTTGAAAAAATGTATTTTACTGCTATTTAGGTGTCATCAATTGTCACTAAAGTACCGATTTTGAGTGAAATCAGTTGAGTTTTGTACAGTGGTGTTTGAAATGTTGTGAATCAAAACAAAAAGCACAGCTTTTACTACACAGCCAGGATAGTGATGCTCCTATGTTAGACCGAAAGCTTCAGTCTCTATACCGTCGGTTGTTCCACTGAGACTACGTCTGGCTCCACTAGACCTCCGGTTATAGAGACAGAACGATCGCCTATGCCAGCCTATGTTGAAGATATCACGGCTAGATTTTAGCCGTTAGGCCCCTCCCACAAACATGAACAAACTTGCCACGGCCGTATTGTTATGCCCCCAAAATCCCCCAAAATGTCATTTTACCTCGTGCATATCCAATTTTACATTAGGCCTAGGCTATAATACATCGGTTCCACTTACTAACTTGATTGAAATAATCCGTTTAATGGTCCCTTTTAACGAAATTATGGGTCAAAATCGACATGCCGTCAATCTCATCCCTTCTAGTCTACGCCGAAGGCAAAATGATAATGAAGGAAAAACTGTGCGCCATCTACACGTTCGTAATGGCGTTATCACAGTTTTTCCTTCATAATCATTTTTGCCTTCGGCGTAGACTAGAAGGGATGAGATTGACGGCAGCGAGAGTTTAACACGGCTTGCAAGATTTTCAACATGGATGTCGATTTTGACCCATAATTTCCTTAAAAGGGACCATTAAACGGATTATTTCAATCAAGTTAGTAAGTGGAACCGATGTATTATAGCCTAGGGTAGAGTACCCAGTATTCGGTCACTTAAGGGGAAATCACTAATATTTTGAATTCTTACCTCTTTCATTGGGCAATCTACCCATCAAAAGAAAAGAAATTTATTCCTCTAACAGGATTTTATAGTCACTGAAAATATAGAATAACGATAAGCAAAAGACTTCCGAAAGAAGACGGAGCATTTTTCTGCCCAGAATTCGGTCGCGCCGACTAGAATTCGGTCACGCGATTTGTGCGTGGTATCTCCGTTGCAAAGGAGCGTAGCGTATTTGCGCACTATTTTCACACAATTGCGCGATAAAGCACTGCATGTCAATGCGTTGACCGAATACTGGCTGAGCGATACCGCATGGCAAGGGTATCGTATAAATACCTCTTGCACATCTGCAAGTGCGTCATTTGCAAATTCGATGCGACGAAGCGAACACGGAAGTGATTCTCTTCACACACATACTAAATTCATTGTGACAGCACACGTAGTTGTTTCGCAATAGACTTCTACATATGGCTATGCATGTTAGCGCATGTGCTAAGAGAACGCGAAAGTGCGGAAAGTTGTGGGACACTGACCAATTTCGAGCTAAGTTGGAGATCTTTCCGGGGCCCTAAATCTGATTTAATTTTGAGAGTTAAGAAAAGTTGTTCAGCTGCCTGATTTGTGCAAGTTTCGTGGCTCATAAATTATTTTTTAAATTGTTACAGCTGTTGAAACGGCTGTCTGACCGAATACTGGGAATAGACCGAATACTGTGCGCGCTACCCTAGACCTAATGTAAAATTGGATATGCACGAGGTAAAATGACATTTTGGGGGATTTTGGGGGCATAACAATACGGCCGTGGCAAGTTTGTTCATGTTTGTGGGAGGGGCCTAACGGCTAAAATCTAGCCGTGATATCTTCAACATAGGCTGGCATAGGCGATCGTTCAGTCTCTATAACCGGAGGTCTAGTGGAGCCAGACGTAGTCTCAGTGGAACAACCGACGGTATAGAGACTGAAGCTTTCGGTCTACTCCTATGTGTAGGGTGTCTGAACGATTTTTCAATTTTCAATTTGGGATCGTTTTTCACCATTTTTGTTTGATATTTGAATAAAAAGTGTAATCAGAATAATACATTTCAAATTTGAAGCTTCACCGATGTTTCAATCAAAAGATACAGCCCCTCCAAAATGCTGGTATATTCATATCATTTTGGTCAAAATCGACGAAAAAGACGTCCACGCAGAGTGATGTTGTTTTGCTAAATTTAGCCAAACAGCTGTATCGCGCGATATGCAAGCGTATGCATATCGTACGCATGCTGCTAAGCCAATGCGCGACTTGCAAGCTTGAGCTACGCTGTCTCCGCGACACGTGCCATTGACTAGTATGGTTAGCGTTCGTCGCACAAAAAACCCGGAAGTGAATGCACGTTATAGTCAATGGCAATATCGCGGAGATGTCTCCGCGATATTGCCATTGACTATAACGTGTATTCACTTCCGGGGTTTATGGTGCGAACAGCCATCCATACTTTCATTCACTATAAGCGCACATGTTACGCGATGTAACCATGGTTTGGACTGAGCGGAGCTCACGCCTCCCTAATTAGCTGATTCCAAAAATGTGGGAAGGGTATTTTTAAACTGTTGGGGCGAGTGATCTCTTGGGGCTAGCGAAAAAATAATTGCATACATATTTTCCTTACGTCTAGCCGGACATAAGCCCGGGGGGCGCAGCTCAGGAAAGTGGCAAATTTTGGAGCTAGGATGCAAACAACATTTAAATCGCTGTTTTGACCAAGATATTTTTAGAATTTCGGGGGTGCGCCCCTTTGGGGAATATGGAGAAAAACCTGCTCTTTCATATGACACCTCATTTATTGAGTTTTACCTTCAGGATCACAAGCCCCAAAGGTTTGAATTTCAATTTTTTTTCATAAAATCATTGACCAATTTTCATGGTCGCGCAATGCACGTAGACTGCATAGGGATGCGTGCAATCTCTATGGGAAGTATTTTAGCACACAACATCGGGTGCGCGATCAGACACCCTACTATGTGTGCCTTCACTCTAGTTCCAGGTCAAAATCTGGATAGACTTCTGAACTAGCACTACCTTCTTTGTTAATTTTGGCAAATATGTGTCTTTCTTGTATCTATCCTTCTTTATAATCGAGGGTCTAAGTTACTGTCACACTCACACCGGCATATTGCCTGCACAAAACTCTGCCACTGCATTGACACTGCCACTGCCAGTCCCACTGCACTGGCAATGCGATGGCATTTCCCTCGCCCCGCTCTTTACTTTACCTGGTTGTGGAACTAATTTTCCGTCCACTCGACTGCACCACAAGCTGGAGTCCTTATCCTGGATAATATAGTTATCCTCTGCTTGGTATAATTCCATAATTCACTCCTTATCGATCAGATTTGCACGAAACATAAGTGACATGATGATCATCAAAGTTAACGATGAAGGTGTCACACACTAGCCTGCCGGTGAACTCTTCTCGTTCATGTTTACAAAATGAACTCCCCTTCTGCTAAAACGGATAAAAATCGGCAATCTCGGATAACCGGCAAATGTATTTGAACTGAGCATGCCTAAAGAGAGGGGGCGCCGTTTAATTACAGACTCTGAGGCACTGACCGTACCTCTACTTGCAGACATGTTTTACCAAAATCAATGAACAAAGGAATCCAATTATTTATTTTTTTAAATCTCATTTTCAATTAAGACTTCCTTAGTCAGTAAAGGTCTAATGAGAAATTTAGGGGCTACCACCTCCCAATAGGACACTTTTGGTGTCAGCCCCATTCCTCGATTTACCAGCTCTATAAACTATCATGTCTTAAAATGGGTACTGCGCCCTAATTCATATTTTTTCTGATGACCTCCAACGGCCATGAGACATGCAGGCCTATCTAGCTACATGCAGATACAACAATATTTTACAAATTCTAGGCTACAGGGAAGTGGATTATGATGTGGTAGACCAAAAAATAAGTTCATTTTGTTTGGGAATGTGTTCCGGCGATAGCCTGGTTTCAACGAAAAAGTAAAAACTGAGATATTCTTTACATAATTCCTCCAATCACTGAAGCGGATCATTTTTCTATCTAATTTTTAAAGCTGAGATTGTATTTTTATACTAGTCTCCAATCTGTCCTCTGAGTTTTTTTGTAACTGAGAACAATTTAAAGACATATCTGTGTTCAAATTATCCACTCTCTCAAGTCTCTATTTCTACCAAATTCTCTCTCTCTCTCTCACTACCCTTGATCTCCATCTCTTTTCCCCATCTCCCATCATATCTCCCCCAGAGGCGGTTCTCCCGGGGGGGGCAGGGGGGGCACAGTGCCCCCCCCACTTTTTCAGATACCCCAAAAGTGCCCCTTTTTACATAGGAAAAGTGCCCCTTTTATTTTGTAAGAAGTGCCCCTTTTACATAGGAAAAGTGCCCCTTTTACTTTGACAAGTGCCCCTATTACTAAATAAAAGTGCCCCTTCCCCCTTTTCACCTCTGACGAGTGCCCTTTTTATTTTTGACACGTGCCCCTTTTCCTTCGACATGTTCCCATTTTCCTTTGCAATAAGTGTCCATTTTCCATTCTCATAAATCTTGAAATTATCTTTAATAAGTGCCCTTTTTAATCTCTAGTAAGTGCCTCTTTTCAGGTACGAGAAGTGCCCCTTTTCACTTTTGATAAGTGCCCCCTTCACCTCTGATAATTGCCCTATTCAAAACTGAGAGGTGCTCCTTTTACTTTGACAACTGCCCCTTTTTTCCTTTGTAAGAAGTGCCCCTTCTCCTTTTAATAACTACCCCTTTTTTAAACTCGGATGAGCACACCTTTAATTTTAACATGTGCCCCTTTTTTTCTTCTAATAAGTGCCCCTTTTCCTTATGATAAGTGCCCCCATTAAAAAGAGAGAGCTCCTTCCCCTTCTCATAACTACCGCTTTCCCTTTCTAATAAGTGCCCCTTTTCCTTATGATAAGTGCCCCCATTAAATAGAAAAAGCTCCCTCCCCTTCTCATAACGGCCCTTTTTTAAAATTTGAACGGTGCCCCCTTTTCATTCAACAAATGCACATTTTCCTTTATTATAAGTGCCCCTTTTACATTTTCATAAGTGCCCCTTTTCATATCTGGTCAGTGCCTCTTTTCACCTCTGATAATTCCCTTTTTAATAATGATACGTGCCCCTTTTCCTTTCTAATAAGGGACCTGTCCCCTTTTCACCTCTTATAAATGCCCCTATCAAAATCTGATGGGTGCCCTTTTTCCGTCAACAAATGCCTATTTCCCATTTTCGTAAACGCCTCTTTTTCATCAGGTGAGTGCCTCTTTTCAGGTGAAAAAAATGCCTCATGTTCACCTCTTATAATTATCCTTTGTACTTTGACACGTGCTCCTTTTCTTTTCTAATAAGTGTCTTATCCCTTTCGATAATTGTCCCCTTTTCATGAAATCATTAAACATGCCCCTTATTTAAAGCGACTAAGAGCAATTTCCCCCAAAGTTCGCTCGCTGCGCTCGCTCGCATTTAAAGATGATATAATTATGTTAGTTATCAAAGGTCTTTTCAGTCTTCCGTTAAGAGAATGTGCTTATAACCCCATCACGATTGGCTTTTTTCCTCTTTATAAGATGTAATTTTTCGCACTGCGACCTCGCAGATCTTTAAAATTTTTCTCGCTCGCTTCGCTCGCTCGTAAATGCATATTCAGACATCCCACCCAACTGTAAAGTATGATGCTTAAGCGATATCTTGTATGATGTATGAAGAGAAACAAATATTGAAATCATCCCTGATAATGTAATCACAATGCAGGGGTATGTACCAATGTCTAAAAAATTGTATATTTTCGCTTTCAGATTTCCCACTGTAGGTGCCCTTTTTTCTTCAGAAAGTGCCCTTTTTTGTTGGTGCCCCCCCACTTTGGAAGTCGCTCGACCGCCCCTGATCTCCCCCCCCCCACTCTCCTTCTCTCTCTCTCTTGTTGTCTCTCTCTCTCATATCTCTCTTATATCTCTCTCTCCCTGTCCGTCTCTCTCTCTCTCTCTCTTCGTCTTCCAGTAATGTCTCTCCTAGCTTTCATATCAGACAAAGATATCAGAGATGCAGAAGGTATACTTAAATCTTTCTTTTTTTATTCAATTTAGAACCATGACTAATATGCACATCAATATAGGCCATTTCTGTCATGTACACAACATTTATGCATATTCATTGAAATGTTGATTATAACCTTCCATGACCTGGTATGAATAAACATATGAATAAAGAGTGGCCTACTAAAGGGGATACTGACTAAACACTGTTTTGTTTACAAACATTTCAAGGCTCCGACTTGCAGGCCGAGGTTTAAAACCAGCTGGCTGATCTCACATTCACATTCATATTCATATTGTCCGAACCTCGCAAGTCTTCTCATTCTATTATATCCCAAATTGGCCACTCGATATTCAAATTTGCACCTTCTTTTTCATCTTTATATATCAAATTGAAATCCAACTATCACATACATCTAGAAATCTTGATGTGCATCCCCTCTTCCTTTTTTCTTCTTCTTTTTTTCTGTCTTTTTCCCCTTTTACCAATATTTTTTCCTCCATATTTGTATTACTATGTATCCTTTGAGGGTAGTCATGCTATCAAGCTTTGCTTACTTTTTCAACCCTCCTGTTTGATGTTTTTGATTGGTTACAGCCAGCCTTACTTTATTCCACATATATTCTTTTATCATGTGTAAATTTGCAATGTAAAAATTTGTAAAAATGCAAAAGAAAAAGAAAATCAAACAGAAATAAATAAATCATATCAAATAAAATCAAAATATGCCTTACTGAAGCGCTTCTATACAAATTATTTCATTCACCTGTTACAAATAAATGTAGCTTAATAGTCAGAATTCAAATTGCATGCATTCGTTGTTGCTAGGTAGGACAAAAATGATGGCATATTTGTTATATAAAATTGTGGGTATTTGCAAAACTTTTGGAGTTCTTAGTTATATACTTTCAAGTTGCCTTCGTGTTGGATGCATGCAGTTAAGACAATGAAAACAATGGGTAACACGTAGAGAACTATATAGAAGAGAAGCGCGCGTCTATTCAATTTTGCACGCGTTATATCATGCAAAGTTAGGTTGTTATATTGCACAGTCGTGCAAATATAACAGAATGTTGAGTGTCGCGTGACACCATTTCAGCTAATGTGATACAAATACACCATCATCAAACTACAACTAGCACATTCTTTTGTCTCCTTTGTACATCAAAATGTTGAAATATCTAAGGCACTGCAAACTTCATTTCATTAATTCATGATCATCTAATAGACATAGAAAGACCTGCTTACATCTTTTTTGCATGACATAATTCAGTATAAACTCACAGATCTGAGCGATTCACATATTGTCTATTATGAAAATCAGAGTGGATTATGAAAATGACATCACTTAATCAGAAGAGGATGGTGATCAAAAGGCAAGGTAACGGAATGCTCAAAAGAATACTATTTATGTTTGTATCTTATAAGCCAACCAGGAATGCAAACTTGGTAAAATATAAAACATATTGACAAGGCAAGTATATACAACTTCAAAATATACATGTATCATACGATTGCATAATCATAATCATAATGATGCGAAGAAAAGCCTGGAACATGATCATCAACATTATTGAAATCCAGTACTGAATATATACAATTAGAATAAACATGGTACAATTTTATCAGCATATTAACATGTACACTGGAATGATGTAAAGAAATTGGATTATTTATATAGTACTGGTGAATATAGTTCAACATGTACAATAAAAAATCCTCGTCAAATTAAATATTACACTGATAAGTCAGGCATGTCACATTGACAAAAGACAAGACAAGTATCTTAATATTATAGCAGTATTTACGGAGTGATGTAAAGAAAATCCAGGAAATATTAATTACCCGAACTGGATTTATCATGTAGTACTGGTGGATGTAAATGTAGTTATGAAATGTATAATAAACAATAATCCATGTCAAATTAAATAGTTCACTAAATCAGGCATGTTACATTGACAAAAGAGACATGTATCTCACAATTATAGCAGCATATTTACATATACACTGGAATGATGCGAAGAAAGTCCTGGAAAATATTTCCTCAAATGGATTTTAAAAACTAGAACTGGATGTATATCTAAATTTACAATCAACAATCCATGTCAGATAAAATGTTGCACTGATAATTAAGTCAGGCCTATGACATTACACCCTTACCAGACAAAGTTAGTTCTCAAGTATACCGAGTTCTATCAAGTTCGCTGACATGATAACTAGAGCAATATGGCTCTTAACATCTGGGTCATTTCTGGTAACAAATTCACAATGAAGTTAATTTATATTCTACTTAATATCATTTTTATTGAACATGTGCAATGAAATTGACATACAAGATACAGTGACCTCGCTTTGTGAAAGTTAAGTGGTATTTCATACATTGCATGCAAATCACTGATAACATCAAAGAATGGACAGGTCTCACATATTCAGAAGCCAAAAGATTAGCGCAGGATAGAAACAAATGGAGAAAGACGGCAAGAAGATGTGCAGATGTGGTTGCCAATCGCCAGCAACTGACAGTGGCAGCCAGGTACATGGTGGTAGCATGCTAAACATGTACTTTACAAAATGGTAAAAGTCTACAATACACATATGGGTAATTCCATAAATTAGTGACCCACTTTGTGACATTTTTGGGGCCCAAGTTACATATCGAACCCACACGTATTTGTGGCTCTGAGCAAAGATTTAAATAGTGGAGTATGATTGTTAAGTGATTCTAGGTATCGATGCAATACTATATGCTTGGAAATCACTTTACGATTTCACTACAATATGTAAGTCATAACTCAGAGCCACAAATATGTGTGGGTTCCTTATGTAACAAGGACACCAATTCCCCAATTTATGGAATTACCCATATATTTGATACATGCACAACAAAAACTGTACGTCTAATGCACTAACATCCTTGAGAAAGCATTAAACCACGTTTGCCACTCTCCACCCAGGTACAAATGTACCCGATATGCCAAAGCGTTACATATTTGGCCACCGCCTAGGATCAGGTTTAGCACTATTTCAGAAGTCACCGTTAATAACATTATAACTACTAGTCCCTGGTGTTGTCACCTTCTATTCACAGGCATAATGCATGATCATAGCCCAGTAAAAAATGACCCCCTATTTAGAGTATTTCAAAAACATTTTCCACACAACATGATCGACCCCTTCCTGCATAAAACAGGTACACAATGGGCTCCTGATACTACTATGTTTTGGATTTGTTGAGTACACATTCACAAAATGTATTTTATTATTGCATCACTTTCTACAAGGCCATTCGCATGTTCTTTTTCTTGTAAAATTGATACACTAACACCGAAAAGTGGATTGTACTCATCAAGGTGAAAAAGAAGAAAACAGCCTTTTTAGAAGTATTCAATCGTCTGCAAACATTGCCAAAAATTACCCTCTTTAACCCCAAATTACTTGCTATCTGTCCAGGGCTCAAAACCAACAGGCTAGCCGGGACACGTGAACACCCAACATCTAAGTCCGGACCGCCCAAATTTGGAAGATTTTACTTAGGGCTCATGCATACAGACTGTAAAAAGTTATATCTGGACCTCTTTTCCATAAGAAAGTTAGTGTGGAGCCCTGTATCATACATACACAAAGTCAAGATGAAGTGTTAACACAGGAACACTGTCTTACGCCTACCCATACAACTAGACTTCCTACTTTGCTTGCTTCTCTGGAATTTCAGGATCATCCTGTGGAACTCTTGACTGAGTACAAGGGGGGCTTGCCTCTTGCAAGGCCTGCTTCGACAAAAATATCAAGAACACAACAGAAAGAAGAAAAAAAATCTAAAAATCTATGGTTGAAGTTAAAACAACATACAGTAGGGAATCTGTTTAATAAAGCTGTTACTGAATATTTAGTTTTGTTAAATGAGAAATCTTCAATTGTTTTTAAGGCACACAGTATCACTTTATCACATGCTCCCTGCTCAGGTATATATCATCATTATATATTTTCTTAGAATTCCATTAGAAGCTCTTTAAAGGATCATGCTGTTAATCGAAATTTCATTTTCTAAAATCACATTTACTGAACTGACCTTTGCAAGCCTTTTAAGAGCGTGACGAAATGAGTCCAAGTCATAAGTAAGTCCATTGAACCTGAAGTTTCCCTTCTTGATCTGAGGAAAACAACCCTGTAGCATATAACAGCAACATTGCTTGTAAACATTGTACATGTATCAGTTTCAAGTAAGTGGATCTATTTCATTCCGGCATGTAATCTATTTTCTTGGGGAATATACACTCAAGAGCTACAGTAACATCTTATAAACAAAATGAAACTTTCATTTTGTTTATAAGTAGAAAAAAGAAGTATGGAGAATTTTAAAAAGCTAGAGTTAGAAAAAAATTGCACAAAAGATTTACAAACATTTCAAAAAGAAAATGATCCAATACATATTGTAATTCCATTCAAACTGTAATATTAATTATAGTTATAACTGCAGTAGTACTGGTAGCAGTATCCACTATAGCAGTAGTAAATGAATTATTATATTGACATCAAGAAAAACTACCTGTTCAGACAAATCTTTATACTTTTTCTCATACTACAGTGTATTAGGAGATCAGAGAGCAGCTACAGAGAACAGAAGAGCATTACTTCTATGATTCAACCCTAAAAGAGCTTGGGTGGGTGAAATCTGCCTCCTTTCCTGTAAGCAATGTGTTTGAGAATAATTCATTTTCAAGATCTGTCCTGACTAAATCGCCTAGAATTTTGTGCATCTTTGATACTAAATTTATAGAATTTAACCAATAGTTACTGTGAAGGCCCCGGTCCAAGGTCATACAAATTAGGTACCTATTTCCTGGAAGTGGATGGTGATGAAAAATAAGCCGTTATAACTAATATGAAATAAATCAACACACAAGTACATACACACAGATTGGTAAATTATCCAATTTGACATTATATTTATCTGTGTTTGGCGATGTTTGGTACTAATATCCTGCCTCTAAATGTAAAAATCTGGTGTAAAAGTCAAAATAGAATATGTGAGCCACCATTTTGATTCATGCAGGATGAAAGAATCATGATAAAAAACAATAATGTTTGAATAATGAAATGACTTTCCAAATAATTATTTTAAGACAATTTTTTCTTTTCTTATTCTAACCACCACATGCTTATTTGAAAAGTTGATATTTACTTTGTAATCATAACAAGTTTCAATATTCATCTCTGTTGCAACGCAAGCTCGGACTATACGGAAGGAACGCCCAGTACACTGTATTAGCTGTAATATGTGCCAAAATAAACCCAAGCAAATATATGTCATCGTCATCGTACCAAGATATCATTCAAAACTATGAAAAATATCAAAGAAGATAACTACTCAAAATTACCATTAAGGTAAGCATTCCAAGAAATGCCACAGAAATAGTGATATTCAAGGAGTTACTGGGTACGTTTTTATTGAAATAGTCCTGCTGCTCATCTATTGTTAGTGCTAATCACTATGCTTGAATCCACAGCTATACTTCTTTTAAAGGGATAGTTGAGTTCTGTTTTCAGACCACAAATGCCTTCAAAGTGCATGATTATTGCTCTTATTCATATCTATGACATTTCTAGTGCCCTTTTAGAACCTAAAATTGCTATGAAGGTAATTTTAGACCCCAAAATGTGTGAAATTTAGCCAATACGATCCTACCAATTCAGCTCCACTATAAAAAAAATATGGTGACCGTTAATTAATCATTTGATTAAAAATAACAATACATGGGCCGGCTGGTTGTGCGTAATATAACCAACACAAAAATGCCAACAAAAAAGCCAACATCGGCATTGGCTGAAATACAACATAAAAGGCGCAATTTCGTTTTTTCAACGGCTTTTTCAAATTATCTAATATTTGTGGTCGTACACAAGTATTAGAAATCGTTATATTTATGGATATTTCAGCCGTCTCTGAACCGATTTTGATCAAACAAAGATGATTTTGTCATTTAAATTGTATGTTCTTTCAAATTTGACACTCAGTTTTTCATTATCTCACAAAAAAATATGTTGTGTAGCGCCCTCTGCAACAGAACTCAACTATCCCTTTAACCGCAGAGGACAGTAGAGTGGGTTCTAGTGTAGTGATCGAGATGAACAGTTCATGTGTAAGAACCTCCCAGCAGGCCCATTCCGATAAAAATGTACCTAGCCATTTCTTGGACGACTATTGAATACTTTAAATAGTTCAAGTCTGTTTACAAAATATTGAGTAGTTGTTGTCTTTCTCATTAGGCTCTCAGATATAGTTTTGATCATATACCTCATGTCTAGATTCTAGGCCTATGATTGGTCAAATTTGCATGTCAAATTCACTTTGGACTACCGGGCGGTATAGTGAAAAATATATTATTATTACTTATACTACGCTTTTCCCATAAGGAAATTTTGTTTGGTGTACATGTTTGATATGGTCCTGGACACGCGCCCGCGTATCTAAATTCACATAGCTACATGCGCGCGTACAAAGACATAACTATGCCCGGCCAATATTTTTCACCATACCGTCCAGCAGTTCGTAGTGAAATTCATGCCCGCAAATTTGACCAATCAGATGCCTAGAATCTAGACATGCAGTATATAAAAGTAAATATATTAGGTTTTAAAAGAAACACAAGTTATTTCGACTAAAAAGAAAAGCACTAAACCTTACCAAACATGAATGAAAATAAGTTCATATGAGATATATTCTGAGATTTGCCAAGGTATATATATATATGCATGTATATTCAAAGGTAATTTGGCTACTACAATGACATTCAAGCATATTAATCTGAAAATTCAAAGCTAACAACAGTAATAGATATACACTGTATCAGATGTTTTCAGACGCATCTACATGTGCACAATGAAATCATTACTGCTCTTTCTTTTTTACTTTCAATGACCCTCTCCATGACATTTAAATTAGAACGCACATACCTGTAAGGGTGATGAACTTGCTTTCAATGTAGAGTAGAACATGTCACTAAGATTCATATCAAGTGTCAGGTCAGTCAGCTTTGGCATAGAACACAGTGCCTCTGCTAGGTGATGTGATTCAGCTGGTGTTAGATATTCCACATCATCAAGCTTGAGAGTCTGGACCTGCATTGTTTTTTAATATAGTCAAGTAACTCATCTATACGTGCATACATTTTTTTTAATACTAATTCCTCACTGTATTCTTACATTTCACACCAATTCCATTAATTACATAGTTTTTTAACAAAAATAAATGAATAGATTTAGTTTGAAACTCATTTCTTGTCTATCAAAAAAAAGGACATACTTAAGTTTCTATGCAGAGGAGTGTTTAGTATAAGTGATTTTGTTTACACATTATATTACTGGTATGTATTCTTTATGGGGCTTCCGACCTGTTTGCATTGATAAACTTGTCCTACTCCCACTAACCCTGACATTAATAGTAACCAGAAATATGCTAAGGTACTTATAACTCTGGATTTCATGTGCACAAGACCCCTAAGTCAGGAGGTTTGTTGCTATGGTACAGTTTGGTAATTCTAGCCTTTATTGAATTTGGCGATTAAAAATCTATATCATATATTTTTCCTATTAATCAAACTGGCAAAAGGTTGGATATTGATTATTGATCAAAACAATGTCAATTGTATACACTTTTCACTTTCAACTGAATCAGCTAGTACATGTGTAGTTTGCTTTTGTTCCATATTTCATGACTGTTCCAATATACTGTGGCATAACCGGGCTCTGCCGGGGTAGCGTTCTGCCTTGCAGTCTCTCAAAACCCGGTCCACGCTCTCGACAATCATTCATCAAAGATCTCTCAATGGGCTCTCACAAAAGTATATTGTGTGAGAAAAACGTGGACTAGCTCTTATTCACTTACTCCCGCAATCACTAGGGCACTTTAGCAACGAGATGGTACGCACAGGAGACGGTAACGCGAGCGAAAAAAACAAACTGCGCATGCGCGAACCTGAAATCTCTCCGTCCCGTCGATTTTCGGAACGGTACTCGGCCAACATAGCGTTCGTTCCCTAAACACGACATAAGAGAGAGAGCTGACAAAAAATCTGTATCTAGATCTAACAATGCCGGGGCACTACCATGACTACTGAAGATAAAAACAGGGAATCTACTAGTGTTTCCAATGTCTGTTCGGTATATATACCTCAATCTACAATAAATTGATGGTTTGGCCGTTGAAGCCTACTTTGGGGCCCTTTTTCATCGTTATGCATGACGTGCCTGCACGCTGTGCACTACATACCACCGCCGGGTCTATTGCCCCGGCGCTCTGGCCAAGCCTCAAGAGCACTAGCACCAAAAGGCAGCAGGCGTGCAGTTCAGCGCGGGAATTGGATACGGACATTGCGTCCCCGTCGCCTTTAGCAGACGGCGAAAGCGCATAAATATTACGACGGTAACAAGAGTGCGAGACCCGTCACAGTTGGTTAAACACTCCGTCTCCTGTGCTTTCCGTCTCGTTGCTAAAGCGCCCTAATGAATATCTGACAGGAACTCAAGAACAACACTTGCACAGTATCTGCAGTTCAAGTAACTTTACTCGTTCCTGGTGCATTGTTTTGCATTTGTTAGATAGCAAGAGAAAAGGAAGAGGGTTATGTTTCATTTTAACTTTAACACTGCATCCCTGAACTATCATAAACACAAAATATTTCCATAGTAACAAAACAACATACAACTTAATTTGTAAAGTGCAACATAAGAACTCGAATAGAGTGAAAGAACAAAAGAAGTAGAGGGAGAACAAATGAAAATATGAGTTTGAAGACAAAGGGTGAAGGGTAGAAGGAATGCAGGATTTAAGATGAACAAGATAAGGCACAATTCATCACAGGTACATAGGTAAAAACAAAATACATTGGCTGTAATTGCAAAGTACAGACTGCTTAGGCGAGGCGTCAAAAATAAATATACCAGCCAGCGGCAGCTAACTGCACTTGTGCGTCCTGGCTGCATTTTTTAAATTAGCTCAGCCGGCTACCGCTGGCGGTAGGAAATGGCATTCAAAAGCATGCGCCGGCTGCCGCCTTTCGAATGGAAACCGAGCCTCAGATTCCAGCCTGGCGCAAGCCGACTGGGCTAATAAAAGAGAAATAATTGCCCCAGCCAGGCTTCGGTCGTAATTGCAGCCTCGATGCGCCAATACGTGAGGCGGCAGCCTGCTGGTATCGATATTTTTGACGCCTCGCCTTAGTTTGGGTTTATGGCAAGATTAAATAAGTTGGGCCTTGATGGATTCCTAGTTCTCGCGGGATTTCTCCTAGAGGCTGGGACAGGAACCTTTCGTGGTGCAGGTACAGTGTGTTCAACAAGTTCCGAAGCTTCCCTGTCGACGGGGTCAACCTCCTCTTCCTCTCCTAAAGCTGACATGCAAGTTGGCTAGAAGCGTCCTGCTCAACCTTCGAGCTGACTTACACTCGCTTCTAACTAGGAGTCCGTAGGGCTGAAGAGTGCCACTTCGTAGGGTTTCAACCTGTCCACATGAACTACCTTCAAGTGCCGTACACTCGAGCCGATGTCTGCATTCGTTTCTATCCAATAGAACCTCAACTCCTCAAGCGAACCTTATCTCTGGTCTTGTTCATGCCAAGGTATCCACTAGGCTTGCCACCATGCAATTCCTTTACAACGACCTCTCGAAGCTTAGCTTATGAGACAACATTCAGTTACCCTATGGCCTTGGTCACTATTCCCATTTCCTGTCGAGAACGCCTTGCTTCATTTCCAGTTGGGCTCACTTCCTCCAAGGGCTTCTCCACCCTGGACTTTGAAGCCATTGCTGACCAATCCGGTCGGTCCCCTGACCGCTGCTTTGCTTCCAGGATCCACGTCGTACTGAAGGATCTTGCGCCTGATCTTGGCTCATCTGCTCATTCCTGATGCTGAGTTCTATCATAACTGTCCTTGCCTCCGCATAGCTATCTCGGGGTACCTCCACTTTCGGTGCTACTTGTTTATCAGAGATTGCTGACTCCTTGAAGTTCCGCTTACACGCACTGAGGACAATTGGTCACTGCCTTCGCCTTCACACGAAACATTGGTTAGTGAGCGTCCAGAACTGTGCACGGTTTTGAAGTCGCACTCTGCTATCACTTGCAGCCACCGAGCCATCGGTCCCTGCAAATCTCGGAAATGTATTAATCAAATCAAAGTTCCCGATGATCATTCCTGACCTCAAATCTCTGACCTTAATATAGGCAAAACTCTAACGGGCGCTATATTACTATTTTCTAAGAGTTATTGGTTCTTCATCTTAGACTGTCGAAGATCATCACCTCCACGCTGAACCTGTGCTGCAAGCATCTCAATTTCATCCTCTATAGTCACTCGTTGAGCAGCCATTATAAATTTTATAATGTAAAAACACAAAACTCGCAATACTCACAATGTATAGGTGCTATATCTGCCGGCGCCTATACAGGCGCTATCTCTCCTACGTGTAGGCGCTGTCACTGCCGGCGCCTGTATAGGCGCTATACCTAACACGTATCTAGGCGCTATTACCGCCGGAGCCTATTTAGGCGCTATACCTTACACGTAGCTAGGCGCTATCACTGCCGGCGCCTATATAGACGTTATACCTTCAACGTGTAGGTGCTGTCACTGCCCGGCGCCTATATAGGCGTTATACCTTCAACGTGTAGGTGCTATCACTGCCGGCGCCTATATAGGCGCTATACCTAACACGTAGCTAGGCGCTATCACTGCCGGCGCCTATATAGGCACTATACCTCCAACGTGTAGGGACTGTCACTGCCGGCGCCTATATAGGCGCTTTACCTAACACGTATAGGTGCTCTCACTGCCGCTCTTCCTTCGCCTACACACAGGCAAAACTCCACTCTCTACTTTAGGTGCTGTGCCATTGTATGTATAGGCGCCAATCTACTTCCGGGTTCGCTGTTGGGGGAGTTCGTTCTGAGCTGCTACAGCCATGTTGCTTCAATCCCAACCGCTGCCACCAGTGTGGCGTAACCGGGCTCTGCCGGGGTAGAGTTCTGCCTTGCAGTTTCTCAAAACCCGGTCCACGCTCTCGACAGTCGTTCATCAACTATATCTCTCAATGGGCTCTCACAAAAGTATATCGTGTAAGAAAAACATGGACTAGCTCTCTTTCACTTACTCCCGCAATCACTGAATATCTGACAGGAACTCAAGAACAACACTTGCACAGTATCTGCAGTTCAGGTAACTTTACTCGTTCCTGGTAACGGACCTGTCGCAATGACAGGTCAACGCTGACTCTAACCATAGACATGCTCTGACTGACATCTCACGATGTACACATATATATTTCACAATTAACTAGAACACCCTCTATGTCTTACTAAATTACTGGACTAGTTATGCCACAATACCAAGGGAATGGCCTTAAAAAAACGGTGTTTGGAAAAGAAACATATATATATGCCGCATATAATCATTACTGCTCTTTCTTTCTTTCAATGTCCCTCTCCATGACATTTACATTAGGACGCACATACCTGTATGGATGATGCACTTGCTTCCAATGCAGAGTAAAACTCCTCATTGAGATCCATATCAAGTGTCAGGTCAGTCAGCTTTGGCATAGAACACAGTGATTCTGCTAGGTGATGTGATTCGGCTGGTTCGAGATATCCCTCATCATCAAGCTTGAGTGTCTGGACCTACATTGTTTGTGAATAATAGTTAATCAATAATTATAGGCAATCCTAAAGCGCTTTTTAGAAATTCTATTCTGAGGCGCATTAATTATTTTTTAATTAATTATCAAGTATAAACCCATCTATACATGCATACATTTTATTTACTAATTCCTCACTGTATTCTTACATTTCACACAAATCCCATTAATTACATAGCTGCAATCATTAAAAACTTCTCTACAAAACTAAATAAATAGATTTTATTTTCAAACTCATTTCTCATCTATTGAAAAGAAAAACACACTAAAGTTAACATGGAGAGGAGAATTTAGTAAAAGTGATTTTTAAAAAAAATAAATGTTATAAGTCTACTTTAACCACTTGACTGCTAATGGCTTAAAATATGTTCATACCGCCTGTGCTACAGCATTTTTGCACTGTACAAAAACTTCACAAAAAAACGTACACTGC